AAAGAAACCTTCCCCAAATTACAATTTTGTAATTAAAACATGGAATAACTAATAGCATTGTCAGTTTATGAGATCAAATCAAAGGAACTCTGTGTACTACCTTCATCGAACAGACCATCACTCGACTTAATATCTCCAACGCCTTCTCTTGTATTTCGCACATGGACGCATAGGGCCTTGTTCCCCATATCCTCCTTCGGTGAAGGGGGGGGGCGATCAGGCCTGGTTTAGACCATTGGTATTTTTTTGGCTAAGTATTCGTTTAAATCTTAACTACAAATTATTAAAGATGGGGACTTTTCAATAAAATGTTGATGCGCACGAATTTAAAGTTAGATGTTACTATATCATTTTACAAACATCGATCTTTTGGTCGGTGTATCTTTGTAAATATCCATGGTGGATAGAGACATGGCGGCAAACTTCTCTAGCTTTTCAAACGAAGTGCCCGTGCTGTGGTCACGTGGTTCGTGACGCACACTGGTGCTGCGCAGAACGAGTGAAGTGCGCCGGAGTCCCCCTTCTCTTTCAACTACGAAAGCATCAATTGATGTAATCAAGTCGCAATGCCAGCCTCAACCGTACACAGAATGTTATCATTTTCTCATTTCCACGTCGATCTGGCCCATGTTACGATATTTTTCAAGAGAAACGGATGTTTTAATTTGTGTGGTACATTACATAGGAGCCCAGTGAATGAAATTGCTATAAAAAACTGTCGAAGAATGTAAACAAGTTTTTCTCAAAAAACTGCTTTTTTTTCTTCTTTCTTTCCTCCCAAATGGTGACGTTTGCTTAAAAATCTGACATTGGCCCCTTCCTCATAGCATGTTCTAGAATTTTGAACATTGCAAAAGTTAATTTTCTTTCAAAGCAGTCCTACATTTCCAATGAAGCTAGAAAACATAAGTGAGGTAACAGCACCTAATGCTGACAGGTTACTTAAAGCTGACTTGCATGGTATTGTTTAAGTAATACATTTTTTAGCAATTCAGTTGGTTCACTATGAAGTCACAGAAATAGTTCAGACTAGCTTGAAGTGAAATGACTAGTTATAATCACAATTACATTATTTAACTTGTTTACAAGTGGTTCAGCATGTGTACTCAAGAATGTGTAATCTACGGAAATCCTTACATTTTTGTAAGATATTTGTTACTGTTCTCTAGTTTATAATATAAATGAATTTGCTTCATGGTATTGGGGTCTACAGACGTTAACATAGAAAAAATTAGGGTGAGTCCTATATGTTGATAATTTTACTGTAACATAGATCATGAATATTAGGAGAGTTGTTAGATTTCAGCCCTCAAAAATTTGATAGCACCCAATGAAAGTGGTGTCAACTTTAAGTTCTGTTTATTATTTTGTATTCTTTATTTTCTGTTGACAATCATAAAATGCCATAAATGAGGGTCTTAACAGTCTAATTGGTCCAGAATCTAATGTTGACATGGTGTGTCAACCTAACATTTTAATTAATGTTCCTTTCTGAAAAATCATGTAAATGACACCCAAAAAAATTTGAGTGGTGAAAGAAACCTATGCTTAAGTAGAGGGAGAAGTTAAAAGTGCACAGAATTCGGAAGGCAAAGGAGTTTGGTGTATCAAGGGTAAACCAAGCATTAGGGACAAATCCCAATCTGCAATAGCATTGGAGCACCTTCAGGAAGCTGGATACTAACAGAAAGATAATGTGACCTTTTTGATCATGGCTGGTGAGTTAGCCTCACCAAAGGTAGTTTATCAATACATTTACATTTCAGTTGAAATAGCCATGTCATTGCTGTTGTTGGGGTATTGAGTGCCTCTTAATGGAGAAGGATGAATAATCGATTATTTTATGAGTTTGTAGCAAATATATTTTGCCCTTGGCTACTTCAAAACTAAATTATGATCCCAATAGTTGTATTTTTAGATGGGCATACTTCTCATAGCTTTACAACTCCGCCAGTTTTGCTCAGAAGAGGACTGAGCTTTTAGATTCCATCAATTCTACCCATCTAACTCAACTTATGGATGCATCTGTCTTCCACGTACATACAGATACTTTGAGATAGTAGATGGAAAACAGATATGCAAAGGCGAAACTTTGTATGTCTAAACTGATTTCATATTCTAAGTGTTTGTTTAACATTACACTTGATCATAATTATTAAAAATCATCATGTACTATTTTTGTTTTGTTTATGACATCTAAAGGTTTCTCCCATGTCAGCTGTATGTGTCTTATATAGTAGTGGTTTCTCTTAACATATGTCTTGATAAATTAAATTTATTATTAAGGAATATTTTTAAGTTCATCAAGAATTCAACTATATCTGAAGAGAGTTTTTGAAAATATTTTGATTACACCAATTGAAAGTAATTTTCTCCTGAACCTAGCAACTTTTGGTGCTATTACCTTAATGCAAAGTATTCCTTAATCTTCAAATAATTTTATTCACATACTTTAAAAATATTTGTATTTTGCAAAATTTCAACTTTTGTAAAGTGGAGTATCACTAGACAACTGGAAGCCCCACACAACTTTACTACCAGCTTTTGGAATTGTCACTTGCAGTGACAAGGTTTGAGCCCAGCCTGAGTAATTTTTTCCTTTAAAATTTTGTGAAAGAAGAAGACAGACATTGGCACTCTGCTTGGACAGTAATTCTTAAAACGATTGCTGCGTTGAAAGGGGACACAACCATTCCCAGCAGTAGTATGCCAACTAAGTCTCTCCGCACGGATCAGGGCCTCCTATTAAAAATTACATTTATGTTGGTACCAACCAAATCACAGGGAAATAAGAAAAGGGGACAATACTTCCCACATCTGTTATAACTGTGGTGAAGATGCAATTTACGAATTCATTCGTAAAAAAAAACAACAAAAAAACATACAATGTAAATATTACCATTTTAAATAATACAAGAAAGTCTGAGGAATGCAGCATCACAATTTAAATGATTGAGAACCATTATAATATGTATATAACTCTCAATTAAACTAGAAAAATCCCACAAAACTTAATGAAATACATTTCACTACCAGAAAATATAATTTTGAAAGACAAAATTAGGCTGAATAACTGACAGCCTCATATCTACTCTATATACTTACATTCTAACCATGTTAAGTTTAAGGGAAATTGATTAATACAAACTTATGTAAGCAGGTAATACGAACCGTAATAAATACTGTTTGTATTACCTACTTACAAAAGTTTCAATAATTTATAGAACACTTTTACCAACAATCATCCATTTGGGAATCATAAGGAAAAATACTCCTACACATGTTATAATAATCTATGGCAGCCTATTACCTATGTCAGCATCAGTTTGTCACATTTTTCAGGATGAATAGTTGGATTTAAAAGAAAATTCTAGTTAATTGAAAATCCTTACGATGTAGATAAACATTATATGACATTCACATTATAATATCTTATTAAAATACTCAATTGGTTTTCAAATAAAGCATAAAGGCATTGTTGCACCTTGACCGGAAGTGTCCTTTCCCTCCAAACATCCTTTGGCATCCCTTGTTCCCCACCTCTCGGCCAACTTACTTATCTTCACTTAACCCTAAACATTTTTTAAAGCTACTATTTACAGGCACTCCTCACTTTCACAGCACTAAACCGTCTCACAGCCATTACCACATAAATAACTATTAATGTTGTTTAGACATTTCCCTCCAAAATTTATAGAATGTGACTAATTTTTCATCAATGCTTAATCATCCACAAAAGCTTTCCTATGCTCCAACATTAACATGAGACTAAATAGCAGTAAATTTTTTCATGCCATTAAAAATAAATAAATTTTATGCTAATGTGTGGAAGTTAGTAATAAATATTAGTCATTTATATCTTCAGTTGAATTGCTTTTAACTCATTGTCGCAACTTCTTTAATTAGCCTTCTCAATCATTTATTCTAAACGCTTCATTGTCTGCTGTATTTTTTTATTTGTCTTAAGCTATTTGAGAAATCATCTGATACATCCACGTATCTACTTTATTTGAAAAAATGCCAGAGTAATTTTAACAAAGTACTATGTTCAAAGCTTTACAATTGTTCAGTGCAGAGGAAAAACTTACACTCAAACATACTGCAAGTATACAGATATGTTTGGAAACTTGTAGAAAGAATTACACTTAATTTACAGAATGAATATTACAATACATAACAGGACAGTAACACAGACAATACCAAATTTGTGTATCACCATATTTAAAGATTCAGATACTTATTTCCTAATAAAACAGCTTTACTACCATTTTTACAAAAATGTATTTATTTATGAAATTTATACAAGGGGTAAAAGTAGATTCCATGCATCAAACCCATGTGAATTATTGCAAAGCACATGCAATCAACCTAAGGGTGCATGTTAAGAGTTTTTCAAATGTTTCAAAAGTGAAGGATTCACTGTTCAAGCATTTGTTGCAATGGATGCTAAAATCCATCGATTTATTTTCATAAATAAAATTTCACAAAAGAAAACACTTCATTCACAGACATTTTTATTGTCCATTTAGTTACTAATTTTCTTTTGAAACCCCTCTAATTTTTTTTAACCGCAGCACCACCAAGCATTTACTAACCAAATTAACGAGTTGTAAGTAACAAGAGTAAGCAAAAGATTCAATGTCAATCATTCATATTATATGAATCTTGTAGTAATGTTAATACACCAAGAACTATTACATTTCATATATCCAATTTCATCAAATCATTACTAGCAACTATCAAAAAGAAAATATTTACTGAATAAATAAATCTATTTAAAGTTTATATTTAAAGCAGAGTAAAAACAATTACTAACAAAGAGCACTAAGTCTGTTGAAACCACTAAAAAAGGAATCTAATATTTAAAGCCCAGATTAACTGCATGAACACTATCAAAATATTTAAGATTATGTTTAAACTGATAAAAGATTTGACCAGGTCGTTAATCGCAGAAAATGGATGTATTGAAAGAAAAAGCCGTTTGCTTAAATAATATTTACCTCATTTCTAGATGAGCTGTAGTAATGATGAACCAAACCATTTGTTCCCAAACTGGATGATCCAGGGACAGAAAAGAATGAGCCTGGGTCATATCCCAAAGAGAGCAAACATTGTTGATTATCTAATTGCAATCTCCGGATACTTGCACTTAAATGCTTCACATCGCCCATAACCTACAATAAACATTGTGATTATATTTCGAAATAGGCCAGAGGGAAACGAACTAAAAATGTAGTCATTGATTAACGATACAAACAGGTGATGTCAACCTGAATACTCAGTGGGGCGTTACGGATATCCGATTCAGTGAGCAGAATTAGTGCTTTCCCATCGATGCAGTGGTCATCGCAGAAAAGTTTTACGTATTTCCCATGACCATTTTTTAGAAGCCATTCTGCTACTTCTCTGACAGTCCAATCCAGCACTGAAGTTTGAGCCATCGATATGGCTAGCCTTTTCCATTTAAAGTGTTTAACTTGCAGTACTTTATGTAGCCTCAAACTATCCTCAGCTGTAAAAACATAACATCACTTCAACCTAATTGCCAGTACCTACAAAATGGAAAAAAAGAAAACCCCGAATTCAAGGATAAAATAAGAACTGCACCATTTCAATCATGTAGCAAATGAACCCAAGTTCACATTTGCAACGCATACTACCTAATATGCACCTTACAACTACAGTAGAGTGAATCAATATACTCCAATATACTCCGCGCTTGAGACTGAGTTGAACTGACTTTCAGCAACTACAGCAGTTACAAATCACGAGGTTCCGTTACCATTTCTTCTGTCTTGAATAGCTCAACAGCGCAGACGTAATCAGCACGTGTTATAAGATAATGGATGATAGCCATGTAAGGGGACGTTAAAAAGCGTGTGGATCCGAGATATAAAAAAAAAACAAAAAAAACAACTAACATACACTGTTGCGAAAATATAACGCAATAAGCATTTCCACAAGCGGATCAAATCTTGCAGTTGCACAAAATGAAATTTCCGGAAGTTAAAATCGAAATAAACAGAAGCTAGCATTTCCGTGAACCCACACTGGCGGGATGAACGAAAAACCCTGAAGTTAGATAATATATCTTTCTAATATTTTACATCTACGAAACAGAACATCACTTTAGATTATTAAAAAGTATAGTATTCTTTCGGCCCGAGCTTGAAATAGGCTGTTATAGATTTATTAACATCATAAAGATTTACCAAATATATAATGTAATAATATGAACTGAATTTAGATTGTAGTTTGAGTTATAATTATTTACCTATAATTCTTGTAATCATATGGGTAAATTGTCCATTAAATTGAAAATAAAGAAATAAAAACTTTGATCTGTTTTGTTAATATAACGAGAAGCTACGTTTATTTGGAATAACTATTACTTACATGTCAGCAATAAATTATTTGTAACTGAAGGAAGGTACCATTTATTCTCAGTATATTAACTGAAGGAAGGAAACATTCGTTTTCGGTTTTGACAGACAAATCTCAACTACAGCTACATAAATAGCAGTGTAGTCGCTTTCTTTTTTAAACTAGTTCATTTTCATACAGCTCTTATTTTAAAGATTACCCTAGAAGTTTTAACTATACTCTTTATTTTTTTAACCGACAGCAGGTGTGAATATTAAATATGAAATTTTCACTCACGTTATTAAACAATGAATTTCTTTCTCTCCTCTTACTTTGCAGTGCTTATTTTACTGTATGATATAAACCAATTATATGAGAACAGCTTTTGATTAATTGCGGTAGCCAGGTCTGTTTCTTATGTAATAGAAAAAACTACCTATAAACAATTTATAACCATCAAAATAGTAATATTAAAGGCAAAAATAATCATGAAGTGAGGCTACACGTGAAATAATTGAGAAATCGCGAACATTGATCTTTTCAATAATTACTTCACTTTCACATTTTACAATTTGTAAACATAATTTACTTTCAAAATTCAAAGATGTTAGACTTCACCATCTCTTGTGTGTCCATTCATACACAATGAACGGGACATACTTTATCTGCAGAAAATTTTCTTCCATAAAAGCATTAACCTTGCTTGGTCACACTTTAGTGTTGCACAACAGTAACACTGGGGTGTGTTGAAACAAATTTTTGAGAGAGAGAAATTAACACATGTTGTTCCCAGGCTTGAATGCAAATGTAGCAAACAAGCAACAAAATGAAATAGCCAACATAAATAAAAAACTCCGAAGGGATACTACATTCTATTATTATCTGCTCTTCCTAGTAGCAATAAATTCTCAATACCTTGACAGGTTAAAGCAATTTTCATACCAAAACAATATTCCCTAAGTTCACAACACTTGATCAAATTCTTGAGAGAATTCAAATCAATTCAAACATTTACGAAGCAGAAAACAATCTGTACTCATAAAGATCACAGTAGTACATGCCATCGGCAATTGTAGTGCAAGTATCACAACAATCGACGTGAATTCATAAACCAATGCTAAAAAAGGCAGAATTGTCAAAATGAATTTACATTGGCTAATTATTGGGTTTTCTCCAGACACTGATTTTGTATGAAAAATATTCCTGTAGGGTGTGTCACACCCTAGTGAAACCATGCAGGGTTAATACAATTTAAATCCAAAAAGGTTTTAAAAATATATTAAATGCTATCTCAATGTTAAAAAGTAGTTGCAATTAAAGAATTAACTTACAGGCTCAGGAGCTTGGTGAATTCTGTCCAAACAAAACAATCTTTCAGACAGCAAAGCTAAAAACTGAATTTCAGTATCATTCCTCTATCATATATTCAAAATGTGTAGTTTTTCTCTCTTAATTTTCTTCATGAAGAGCAATGAATGGGTAACCTAGTTTGCTTTTTCAGGTAATTTCAGCCTAAATTTATAATTTGTTCTCAGCTATCAGTAGCCCAATTGCATCTACATTTGAAGGATGTCATCCAACAAGATGTGAAAGCATTGTTTCAAATAAAACTTGAAGTAATCACAGCTGTATGGAAGGAAAAAATAAAAGGAAAAGAAAAATCTAAGTCTTGTTTTTCCAATACCGATGAAGGAAAAATAACTTAGAAGCATGTAGCCAGCTCAGTACACCGTTATAGCAACTCTCTGCCTCCATCACCGACTCAAGTAGTCATTCAGTGTTCAAAGGTTTTTAGTTCCGTGTTATTCAACCTACAATAGCATGATTTGAGATACAGTGCGATATGGAGGTGAAAGGCATTTGCCAACTTATTTGACATTCCCCTTTAAAACGTTATTTTAGAAAGTTATTTAACATAAAAACTAGCATTTGAGATATGGCTATATGTAGGTATCTTGATGCCAAATTTGATATGTTATTGCAGTATCTTCCATAGAAGAGATTTCAGACTATTCCAATCATACTTTCTGACATCAAGACAAGATTTCCTGCAATTCTTTCATATGTGTGAAGTCATGGACACAATCAAGTTGGGATGGTCACACTCCTCACAGGATTACAACTGCAATGGAACAATAAAACTGTTTTCAACATTAAACTATTTCTTATATTATTTATAGAGAGAAAACTAAATTACTTTCATTGTCTGAAATGACTTCAATAGTGACAGTCTTTGACTGCAATATGCCTCTAAAGTAGATACGCTCTTGAACCATCCCTTTAGATAAAATAACAAAGTACATAGCTGGAGAAAAAAAAAAAAGAAAACAAAGAACAGGGATTTCATAAAATGCCAGCAATTGAGTTATAGAACAAAAAAGCGAATCAATCATTTTAACATTCATTTTTCTCCTTGAAATGTCATCATACATTTCATTATTTCAGTACACTTCTACAAGCAATAGCACAAACATCATTAAGGAGTACACAATCTTACAGTATTAAATAACATCTACAACACATGCACTGAACTTTTCAAAATATAACATAAAAAAGTGAAATCAACCTTTGTAAGCAATAAATTCAAAAAATTTTAACATCAAAAGATGTAAAATTGAAAAGTCAAAATAATTATCCTTCAAACAAAGTCATCGAGTTCAAATGTTCGTAATTGGAGAAATTAAAAGCTACATTTTATCTATTATCTTGAGGCATTTCGTCAGTTCGAATTCTTTTTGGCGGTGTTCTATCGATGTCTTTATTTATATGTCTCTCTATTCTTTTAGATTTGAGGTAAGAAAGTGTGTTCGACTTTTTTGACTCCACTGGGCTAGAATTATCACTGTCTATTGACATAGAGTTTTTTTCATCACTATCGTCTGAATAATTTACAAGAGACACCCTTTCTCTTTTTGCACTGTTGGAGTCTAGAGACATTTTTATTAAAACATCATCTCCACTACCACTTGAACAGCCACTACTGTTAACACGCACATTTTCTGGATGTGTAGGACTGTTGGATTTGGATTCTTCTACATTACTGGTCTTAGCACAAGTTGATTCTCCATCTTGTGATGAGACATCTGGTTCCTCACCATTGGATGTTGCCTAGGTAAAAAAAGTCATGAAGAGTCCTTAAAATAACATTTAAAAAAATAGAAAAACTACACTAATTACAAAGGTACTCACAGTTGTTTCAGTTGCTTCTTGTGAGGCAGACAAATTAGAGGAAAATGTTAATTTAGGTAGATTCAATGTGGCTGGATCTACACCAGTTTTCTCAATGAGAGACAACAGCAACTTATGAAGCTCTTCTCGTTTTCGATTTACAACTTCTTCGGGAAACCAATTAGCAAGAGTACGTATTGGTATATGATAATCTTGTATGGGATCCTATGAAAAGAAAAAAAGAAAACGTATTAGCGGAACTGGCTATTTATTTCAAGCCTCAATTTTAACACATTGAATTTTATTGTTAATTTTATGTTATAACAAATATTTTTAAGAAACATAAAATTCCTACTAAATGTAAACACGCAATGCCAACCAATCTACGCCTATAACAACATTGATAGTTGAACATTGAAATAGTTAAATTCAAAAATGATTTTTTTTTTCAATTTAACAGACAATTTGTCCAAATAATAAAAATAACAAATAAATAATTACAACTCAATAGCTCATAACGTCAATCAAGGACTGCGAGACCACAACAATATCACTTGAGACAGTGTTTGTTTAAATTTCAGTTCCTCAAAATTTATAAACAAACTTGTTCATATCCTTTTTTCATATTTTCTATTTACAGCAGATATTATACATATTATTTAAAGGAACTGGGAAGTGTTCCAAGAACAATAAAACATCTTATAAATGTGGTAAGACAAAGATAGTGACTTATGTTTAAACAACAAACATTGATGTGAATGGACGAGGACCACACCTTCACAGATCTCTAGGAAGCCATGATGAAAGGACGTAATTTACATATTTTCTTACTTTTTCACTGAAAAGACATCTGAACACTAGTCTGACTTCAGGATGAATGTGAGGTGTTGTGGCTTCACTCTGGAGTAGGCATTGTTAAACATGGTCATACTGATATAGTTAAGTACCATAAGAAGGTAGTGTTGTTAAAATTGTAAGGGACAAATTTTGCAATAGTTTAATAACATAATTTACAGGTCATATATTTTTTACGTTTCAACTGCTTTATTTCATACATATTTCATCAACTTCTTATTTGAAAAAAGTTTTTAACAGAATATAGAGAGACTCAATTGTTTTAATAATTTTCATTTTAGAATTCAAAGTGAAAAGAGCAGAAATAATTATTTTCATTCCAACTTTCTGTCTCAAATAAGTTTTGCCGGCACTGAAAATTGCTATGGTTGTATTACATAAATATTATTTAGGAGGTTCTCTTTCATATAATCTTTTCATTTTAAGATCTTTTTATAATTTTAAACAAAATTAAAATCTTGTCCGAAAAATCTCACTTCTCAACCCATGTACAATAGCAACAACTTATGGCATTTTCTGAACTATCCAAGAACAGATTAAAGTGGAGAAAAGGAGACAAAAATTAATTCCCTTGCGTACCTACCTGGAAAAAACTTTCCACATATTGGAGCAGGTAGAGACCACAATCTGTGAAATTTGTCTGCTGTGGAACTTTAGGTGATGCACCTCTGATTGTATCTTTGGAGAAAGCAAGTTCTTTGCCTCCCTTGGCTTTATTTTCAATTCTTAGGTAATCTCGTAAGGTTGCTACAACCCGACTTCTACTTGCTCCAGCTAATGAATCGAAAATTAAAATGCATGGCCTATAACAAGAGAAAACAGATAGATAACAAATATTTATAAAAGCTAAAACGTTCAGCAAGATGTTACTGACTTTAAATTTTGGTTGCTTAGAAAATAGATTTTAATGTCAAACAAGGTTAACACCACCATCAGAGAAAGGACTCACATTACACAGACAATTAAGTATATGAAAGTTTCATAAGTTTGTGCAAACTTGTATTCATGTGTGTGCACGCATGTTTGTGCACGTGCATTAAATCATGTTAGGAAGCAGACCGATGGCTAGATACTGAAACATCGATCAAGGCCGCGATATACGTGGACTCGCTAATATTTTTCATTATATATGAATTGTTCTTGTTCTTGTTGGTCACATATCTAGCTTGGAATATTTTAAATATTCTTGATATTTTTGTTTCCTCTGGTTTTTTTCATTATGTTTTTAATACTACACTATGTTTCCATTTATTAAATTAACAATGTTCAAGTACCTATCACATACCTAAATCTTCCAATGAATTATTAAAAAATTAAAACAAAACAGTAATAAATATCGCCTTTATTTACCAGTTACCTAGGTTATCACAATTTGACAATGTTTCCCTTCAGTAAGTTGTGCTGGTACCAATGAATTAATAACACTTAAAAGTTATCTTTATTAAATAAAGTTAACTACAGTTTCTACATTCCTGCACTTTTACTGCCATGTAATTTTTACTGCATTTTACTGCCATGAAATTTTTCGTTGGACACATCATAAAAACCTATATTTACACAGCATTCTCTTCCCGCAATTTATAATTTATATGAAGAGTGCTTCCCATCTTTTACATCACTTTTTCTCGTTACTTTTTACTTTCTCACACATGGTCATATTAGAAGAAGAAATATACAGAAGACATACAGAGAGTGTTATGTGATGTTGAGGTAAAAACAGCAATTTTTCAACAGAAAAACTCGTACTGATACAGTAAAGGTGGATAAGTCCTGCTCCGATTTGTAATCGTCCTTTCATACATATTTATGAAGCAAACTCCCAGAGCCTCGATTTTGCACACACCAATTGAGGAATACAAATTTTGAAGAAAATCAGCTGACCTGTTTTGGTGCTAGCCTTAACCATATGACAAACGTCTTGCCGTCAATCGATTTCTCAGTTTCAAAGACCCACAAAATATGGATTTTGGCTCCACCATGTGTTAGAAGTGGTAATATTCAATGTTAAGGAAAAGGATTTATCCACTTTCTTTATACCACGGCCATCAGTTAGAGTTTTTCTGTAAAAAAATCACTGTTTTCCGGTGCACAATTACTTTTCATATGCAAGAAAGTAAAAACAAATCCACCATTGCAGTAAATATTGTACAACCTTGCTTAGCCTATTGTTTAACTTTCCTGCGTTTTACACTTTTCTCCATTGGTCCCCTGAAGTGTAAAACGAATTTTACTGTAATTGTAAATGCATTTGAAAATCAAATTCTTGTATCTTGGATTCAAGCCTGATGTTTGTATAAAAAAATAATTTTAAAAAGACATTACATACTGTTTGATTGCTTCTCTGCCAGTTTTCAAGACTTTTGCTTCAGAGTTTTCTTTCTGGGGACTTTCAGTTGATGTATCTGTTTTATTCACACTTTTTTCACCATCTGGAGAGTTTTCAGCATCCTGAAAACATTTCAAAAACTTAAAGAAATGAAAAAATTGAAGTTAACTCCAGCAAATTATTGAAGTGGCAACTAATTTGGTCATCAACATTATCATTA